TAACCTGCCCTTGTTCATCCAGCAGCAGGTGACTGAAATGCAGGAATTCAGAGCTGCCGTGCTGTGAGGCAGCCTGGGGCCAGTGAGCTCACAGGTATTTCCTCCTCTGCAGCGATCATTTCCTTTATACTTACCTTGTTGGTTAAAAATTGATGGTAAATAGGGGGGTGGAACGAGATGATCTTTAAGGTTCCATTCTGTGACTTCATGGTTCTATTAAATGCTTTCATCGAAGCCACCAACTTCATATTGAACAGAATTACTTGCTTTTAGGAAGCGATTTGGTTGAAATTCTCTGTCATCTATTCACTTGAAGCTCGTGATTCTCTGTGTTTCACCAGTTGCTAATTAGGGACAATCCCAGTTACACACAGGGTTTGAGTGCTGGATGGTGGGAACTTCCACAGGGCATGTTTGAGGAGTGGAGCCTTGAAGCTGCTGTAGGGTAGAAACAGGTTTTAAGTGGAGCAAATAACCTAAATCAACCGCCAGCTTTTGCTTTTTGGTTTGTAGTTTTTTGAATAAATAGTTTTTTTAGAACAAACTGTTTGCCTTTGAGAAGTTTCCCAGTTTTCAGTATGGTGGAATAACTGCAAAAGGGTTATTGCACTTGAAACGCCACAGGATGATAATTTGGAGACAAACATGGCTTTGTCTCACTGATGCATAAAGTAATTACTGGGCAGAAGTGCACCATTCTCATCCTAAAACCCACGGCCTGAGAGTGGCTACAGCTGAAAAATGGGTCATTTACTGTACATAAAGTGGAAGTGCCAAATTTTAAATTAACTATATTTGGGTTTTACTGTTGTTTTGAAATTCCAGAGCAGAAATATTTACTCATCATAACATCCATCATAACAGACATCGGATGCGCAGCATCGGGGGATGTTGGGCCTGGGACAGACCCTCCCACGTGTGGCTGTGCCCTGGGTGACTTGGGGGCTGCAGGATGAGGTTCCATGGTGCATCGTGTGCTCTAGCTGAAGTTTCCTAATTTTCTGACCTGGTGAAGTAGATTTTAATCAGCTCAATGTAACACAGTGGAAAAATACAAGGGGAACCACTTAATGGGGCTGTCACAACAGAGGAGCTGGAGTGGCTTGGGAGATGCTGCAAGTGTTGATAGAATTGATCAAAACCTTAGGAAAGAACTTCCCTGTTTCCCTGGGGGTCGCCCTGCTCCATGCCCGGTGCCTGGCGTTGACTGTGGTGTGGACAGTGCCATCCCCCTTCTCCAAAGACAGACCTGTCTGGTGGGAAGCACATGACATTCCAAGCAGGGCTTGTTGCTGCTTCCACCTTCTACAGACTTTGGAAGAGCTTCACAGAGTCTGCAATCAAATCCAAAAGAGTTAATTGCTACTAAACCATAGTAACAAGTTGTGAATTATTTGGTAGAACCCCAATCTTTGATTAGTTCTAGGGAATATTTGATTTCTCTGTGGGTATGTTCTTCTCTAAATATTAAGCATTGAGTTGTTTATCTAATGCTTGGAGTAGTAGCAGTTTTTTTCTTTCTGATCTGTGTTTCCTTATAGAAGGGGAAGGGGAGTGTGAGACAGAGAGCCTGGAAGATGAAGGTTTTGAACATAAAGGGATTGTTTTGGGATGGAGCTTTCCCCTGTGTGTGCTCACCATTAAAGACGACGTTTTTGTGCGGTAAATTGGACCCACGCCTGCCTGCCTTCAAAAAAAACTACCAGGCTCTTCTGCTTCATGGTTTTGAGTCTCTGATACTTTTGAAATGAAGCCTAAAGATCCTCCAAAGAGGATAACAGTGCCTAATGGAAAGAATAATGGGAGCGAGAACCCATCTGAAATGACAGCTCTGAGCCTCACACAGCTTTTCGGGCTGATCAAAGCTGCTGGGAACGCTGTTTGAAAAGGGGGGATCAGCTCCCCTGCTCCTCTTCCCGCTCAACCTGCACATGATTTCATATTCCAGCCTTCTCACTTTTTTCCTGGTAGATCAAGTGACCTCCTGAATGGCTGGTGTTCGGATCAGTGCTCTGGGGACCAGAGTGTAAGAGGTGAACTGTTGGGGTGATGAAGCCTCAGAGCTCGATCCTCTCGTGCACAGGGACCCCCAAAATGCCCCACACAGAGCAGTCTGCAGCTCCTCTGCCCATGTGTGTGAATACTCCAAACACCTCATAAACACAGAGGAAGGGAGTTGCTTCCTCGTCGTAGTTTTATGGTGGCTTTTATTTTATTCCCTATGTGTGTCCCACGATTTTGGTTGTTTTCTGAAGTCGGGTGATGATTTGAGCATCTCAGCTTCCATTTTTATTCTTATTTTAAATCCCCGTGCTCATTGCTGAAGTCTGAACATGCGACCTCAGGTGCCCAAGTGCTTTAGAAATCAGAAGCAGAGGGAATTCTTTGCATGGTATTTTTTTATTTAAGAACTAAATTCATGATCTCTGTGACTTCTTTTTGGGATGATTCCTATTGTTTGGTTGTTTTAGAGGACGAGGTCGTGTGTGCTTTGGGGATGCAAAATACCTGGGGTCTTCAGGGGCTGAGCAGAGCAGGGCTGAAGGAGTCAGTGATTTCTCTTAGAGCCAGGGCTGCAAGGAAGGGGGTCCTGGCAGTGTGGAGGAAGGGGTGGAATATGGTTCTTGTGTTAATTCCCTCGCTCGTGGTTGCCTTGTAGCCACATCCAGACTGGAGGAAAGAGAACTCAGTGATTTGAGAAGGAACAATCCCACTGGAGTGGGAGATGGAGCAGGGCCTGTTGAGCCCCTCGAGCCCCCGTGGAGACTGGCCTTGCTTAGGCAGCATTGTTCTCACCAGATTTGTTCACAAAGCCCCTGGAAAATCCGCTAAATCCCGGGCTCTCAGTGCCATGCCGAGCACCAGACGCTGGGGCCGTGTGCTGCAGCCTAGGCCTGTGAGCCAGGGCTGTGCTGCCCCAGGATCCCCTTTCTCCCAAACTCACCTGTGCCTGCACCCAGCCATGGACCGAATCTGGGACCTCAGGGCAAAGCCTTTAACCCAGATGTGTCCATCTCCCCTCCCTGCCTCACTGTTTAAAGTGAAACTATTGATGCAGGAAGCAGGAAAATTTTTCTGTGAAAAATTGCACTTGGAACGCTGGGTTTGGCTTGTTCTGAGCAATGAGAGAGCATGAAATTGCTGTGAATCCTCAGGGCTTTCCTGGACAGTGTGTGAGCCCAGTGCAAAACATTTATTGTAAAATACCTTCTAATTGCAGTACCTGAAGTGGGCACTGCTGAGAGCTTGTTTCCTCTGGGCAGTTGGGAGCAGTGGGTACACAAAGGACAGGGATGGTGCTGGCAGGAATCAGTGCCTTAAACAAACACAAGGAATGAATTGATCTCTCCCTCCACCCTTCTGATTTTCCAGTGGACTCGAGAGGGCTTGGAGGGAGCGGGGCTGGTGCCGACCGTGCTCCCTGCCTGGCCTGGCCAGGGTGGGATCTGGAGCACACTGCCATCGGTGCTCCCATTGGCTGCAAGGTACTCTTGCCCAGACACCCATTGCTGGCACCCAGTCCCCTCCAAGCCAGTGACACTGGGCCACTGTTTTCAACTCTGGGCTCTGCTGGCTGCAGCTTCTCCTTGTCCCCTGCTCCAGCTCTTGCAAGTGTTCCCAGTGCCCCGTGCCGGGATCCCTGTCAGGCAGAGTGGAACGGTGTCAGCTGCCTGTCACTGCTGGGAGGGTCAGGAGCAAAGAGCCACACGTTACCACAGGGAGTTGGCACAGTGGTGAGAGGTCACACAGCATTAGTGGCTTGGCAGCAGTGCCAGAGAATCTGTTCCCAGCTGAGCGATGGATGCGGTGCCTGGCAGAGGGCGTTTTAGCGGGGGGATCGATTGCTTTCAGTACGTTGGATTGATTTGGGGATCCTCCAGCGATGGAACCAGCCTGTGAGTGTATCAGTGAGCAGGGTTTTGCCAATCTTGATAATCAATCCCCGTTTCCATCTCCCGCTCCCGGAGCTGGTGCTGTGGCTGTTCCGCCTCCGGCCGCCTGCAGCGTTCCCGCACGGAGCGCGAGCAGCCGATCACACTTGAGTTGTTTGGAGTGCCATGTTGCAGAGATGCTTTTATCTCAGTATTGGGATAAAAGCTTTCTTTGGGGGCGGAGGGATTAATTTTTCACACATCTGTCCACTGGAATGCAATAAACGAAGCCTTTGTTCGGGCTCTTTCCGTGGAGCGCCTTCTCCACCCTTGTTATTTCACTCTTCTTTTGCATGGCAAAACTTTTTGTCCTGCATTTCAAATAGATCTTGAGCGTCCCTGGCAGCTGAACAAGAGAAACAAACTTTCCAGCCCCGTTGTTTGTGCTGTTCTCAGGGGATGCTTGGTGATTTGAAGGGTATTTGATTGGTTTTGGCAGAGGCATTTTATTCCGTGGAAAATCCACAGCTCCTTTGATCCCTTGCGGATGGTTTAGGGAGCCCCTGGAGCCTCCAAATGAGAGATTTGTGGGTGGCCAGCTGGTCGTGGAGGTGCCATGGGAACGCTGAGGACTCTGCTCTTGGGCCGTGCGCCGTGGTGGGCAGGGAACAGAGGGGGAGAGGTGGGGAATGGTGCCAGCTCTGCTCCTGCCTGAGCCACAGTGGGAGGGCTCGGAGCTTGGCCCAGCCATGGCTCTGCATGAGAATGAAGCCCCAGAGCCTCAGCCCTTGTCCTGCAGATGCTTTCCTTGCTCTTTGGAGGTCAGTTTAACTCCAAAGTCTCCCTAGTCCGGGATATCCCAGCTCCAACCCTAATCGTATGTCGGGGAGACTGACCAGGGTCGATGGTTCCATCCCCAGCAAGAGGGAATTTAACACTCAGGTTTAACACAGATTATAACATTCCCCAGTCCGGATGTGCTTCCCACATCCCACAGAGGCTGTAGCAATTGCAAGCAAACAGGTTCACCTCAGCCCTGAGGGTTGGGTGCTGGGCTCAGTGCACAGGGAGCAGCAGCCCGGGGAACCTCTGCATACATTTACCTGTGATATTTTTTTCCCCCAACAGCCCTATTACCATATTTAAATGCAAGTATGTCTTTTTTTAATTGATGTATTAAGTAGTTTCAAGTCACTCTAGTCTAGTTCTCTGCTCCTTTGCCCTGATAGATGAGCTGTAGCTGAGCCAATAGTGTAGAGGTAGAGGCTGTAGTCTGCTGGTCTCTCTGGGGTTTGCTCGCTCCTCTGGCTCGCTCTTCTCTTTCTCTGTGCCTCAGTTGTTTTTCTGTGGTTCCTCAGCCTTGCAAAGCAGCTGTGATCAGAGTCCTGGGCCCACTCAAGTGGCAGGTCCCATCATGGCAGCCACCCCCAGGGTTGTCCTGTTGGGCAGCGGGAGCAGTCGGAGCTCCCAGAAACCAGGAACCTCTCAAGAGTTGTTGACTTTGAGGTTTGGGGTTCTTGCTGATCACCTGGACTTTGCCATTGCCCTCTTAAAATACATATATTGAAAGTCAGTCTCTGACAGATCTTGTGAATGTTAATTAAATAAAGACATTAAATCTGCGATCTTGCGATCCATTCCTCTGGAGGGCTTGCTCCCCTGGAGCAGGGGGTATGTCGCTGAGCTCCTTGATCTGCGGCTGTTTTGCTTTCAAGAGCTTTTTTCTTTCTTTCTTTCTTTCTTTTTTAAACCGCATTCCATTGAATTTTTTCTGCTTGATCCCAGCAAATCTGTGATCTTGACACGAGGACCTCCTCATATTTTCCATTACTGCTCTGTCTATAGACCAGCACGTTATTATCACTTGCAAATAAGCCTGGAAGAGAATTCCTTGGTTGGTTGTGGAGTGGGATGACCCCGTTTGTTTGGGAGTACAGAGACATGAGCTGAGTGCTGCGGGCTCTGCCACCAGCCTGTCCACCTCGGCTCCATGATGTGCCATGGCCGGGTGCCCCATTCCTCCTCTGCCAAAGGGGTTTGTGCTGGCAGGGCCCTCTGGCAGCGGGCACCTGGCAAGGGCTCGGCTCTTCCCAACCACGGTGCCTGTTGGTGGCACGGAGAGCCGGGATGGCGAGCTCTGGGAACACAATGCCCTCGGTGGCCACCCTGGGCCCCGCAGAGACTCGTGGTACCCACTAGCTTCTTTCTTTACCCTTCTCCTTTTCTCCATGGCCAGGTTTTCCGGCAGCGGCTTATGGACCAGTAGCAGCGGCGGCCGTGGCGGCAGCAAGAGGATCAGGTAGGGGGGCCCGTGGAAGAGCAAACCCTCAGAGTGCAGGGTCAGGTAAAAGCTCTGTCGGTATTCTGTGTGGCTGCAGCTCTCCATCATTTCTCTGATTTTCCTCACACTTATCCTGGGGACCTGAAAACGAAAGATCCAAAAAAAAATTATATAAAAATTAAGTAATCAGTCCCGACCCAAACCCAAACTACAAGCAGAGGCCACGGGGGCTGGAGCACCTGCAGGAGATTGGCATGAGAACTGCCAAAACCAGGGTAGATATTCCAATTTGTTTCTTTCTTTATTCCTTTATTGTGTTGGTTTCTTTATTTCTTTGGTTTAAATTCAAGGTTCTAAAAGACAACCCCCCCCCCCCCAAAAAAATTTAATTTGTGTTTTTTGAAAAAAAGTTTTGGTTTCTCATGGGAAGCTGGGGTTGGGTTGAGGTGGTGGCAGCAGCTCCGGGTGCTCCCGCCGTGCCCGGAGCCGCTGTCACCTCCTCTGCCACAGCCAGCACAGAGCATCCCCCCAGCGAGGGGCTGTGTCCCTTGAGGACAGTGTCACTCGTGCCATCAGCAATGGCACTGCTTCCACGAGGAATGCCAAAGCTTTTCTTCTGTCCTTCCGAAAGCTTCTGGTTTTTTTCCCCTTAAGGGAAATAAATAAATCGTTGCCAATTACCATTACTGCCTTAGGTTTAAATTTTGCCAAACACAAATTAGGACTTTGCTCAGGTGACAAGGAGTTCAGAGCAGCCATCGGTGAGCTGTGGGCTTGGCTCCCGAGCCAGGCCAGGATGGAGCTGCTGCCGGGACGGAGCCGCTGCCAGCCCAGTGTCCTCTGCCCCAGTGTCTCCTCGGAGGACACGGCGCTGGCAGCACCTTCCAGCTCACTCATGGCTGGGCTGGGGGTTCTCAGTGACTTTTCTGGCAGTGCCGGTGGGTTAACGAGGCTCTCCCCGAAAAGCCACGGCTGCGTGAGGGGTCAGGAGGAGGGCGCAGGCCCAGGTGTGTCTCGAGTGCGAGCCCAATGCCATGGAGGCCAAAGAAAGACACCAGGAGAACTCCGTTCCATGCAAACTGGCACTGCTTGCAGGCTACAAAGGACTCTCTGTACCAGTTCCATCTTGTGGCATGTAGAGAGCGCCTAAGGGGTGACTTGCCAGCCTGGTTGTGGGGATCCCCCATCTCCCGGCTTCTCCTACTGCCCCGTCACAGAGGGGGAAAAACAAACCCAAAGAGAAAAACAAACCCAAATGAAAAACAAGATTGCTTTTGCATATGCTTCCAGGAAAACAGACCTCATTGTTTCTGCCTCTTCCTCATGTTTTGCCCTTCAGGTTTTGTTTTACGTGCAAACAGACCTGGTGAGTTGCCCCTTAGCAAGGCACAGAGGGTTTGGCTCGATTAACGTTGCTTCCCTGATTATTATGATTATTTTTTTTAATCGGAGTGCTTTTGGTGCCCATTACAACTGAACTGAGCATTGATCAATTCTGTGCCTGAAAATCATTTGTCTTTAATTTGAGTGTTTTTTGGTTTCTCTTTTGTTGGGTTTTCTGTTTTGTTTTTTCAGTTCTTTTGGTTTTTGATTTGAACTTGCAATACGAAACTAAATCTAACCCTAAATTAACAACACCCTTTCTGGCAAGTTTAAAGAGCAGTATGGTGTTTGGAAATGTCTTTTCAAGCCTCAAAATTGCCTGTGTGCACAAAACTGGCAAAACCCCAAAACTGAATCCAAAGAGCCCCTGTCCCTCCCCAGCCCCGAGGTCTCAAGGAGGAAGATGGGTTCGTCACCGGCCCCACGGCCACTCACATCTGCACCAGACTGTGCTCTGGGAACGGTGGGGTTTCCGTAGAGTCATCTCCATCCAAAGCCGGTTTCGGAAGGGACATCCTGGGTTCTCCACTCCATCAGCAATGGTAGTGAATTGTATCCAGGAGCAGTGGAGTCCGATCGATCTTGCGCTGCAGTGTACGGGCCCGATTCATTACAAGAAAAATGGTTGGGGTTTTTTCTTCTTTCCTTTTCAGTTGGGTTTTTCTTTTTCCTTCACAAATTCGCACAGTTCTCCTTCACGTGTGCCTGATCCAAAGCACAGAGCACTGCACAGCTGGCCCTAACTGACCCTTTCTGCCAGGAAATAGGAAAGAGCTGGAAAACACCCAGGCAGGCGCATCCCACCACCCCTGACTTACTGGGGAGGGCTCTGCCCAGGGCTGCTGGAGCTGCCCCTGTCACAGAGCAAACAGACCAGGAGGTTCCTGGAAAGCATTGATGACAGTCCATGTCATCAGTGTCCCCATCACTGCTGCTCCTTCGGCAGTGCTCCAGCCTCACCAGCTCACCCAAAATTGACCTTCTCTGCTCTCCGGCCCTGTCCTGCCGGCTCTTCCCCACCTTCCTGGCATCACTGCCAGCACAGAGACTGAGTGCCCCCAGAGAGCATCCACCTTCAGCTGCACATCTTGGTCTCCCAGGGAAGCTGCAACCCTTTCACTCCAAGCCCCTGAGCACTGACCACCTTGGTTTCTCCCCGAGCTGATGCTCCATCTCTTGGGTCACCTGCATGTTTGCTCAGCCAACAGAAGGAGCCTGCCAGGGGCAGGTACCTGCACAGGGCAGTGCCCGGCCCTGGTTCTGTGCTGCCTGGTCTTCCCTGCCTTTGCCCCTTCCTTTTCCCGTGTCACCAGCTGACCTGGCTAGATAAACAAGTTCTTTTATCTGTCACAGCAGTTCTGTCCTACGACCAGCAGAAAGGGATGTGTCCCTCTCCTCGTGCTCAGTGCCACCCATAAATTCACGTCCTGCGTAGCTGCTCGTGTGCCGGCAGGGTGAGCAGAGCAGTGCTGCTCTCCATAAATCACATCCCCAGTCGATGTCCCAGTGATGAGACAATAGCCAAGGTCCCTCGAGCAGACACGGGTCTGGCCACATCCATTTGCTCCGGGTGGGACTGTGCTGCCCAATCCCTCTGCTGGTTTTGACAACCTCACCCATTCTTGTATTTTTTTAATGAATTGGGACCTGAGCCATGGAAAACGAGCAAAGTTAAAAGTCTGAATGCTGCAAACTCCTCCTAGACAACTTCACTATCAGTGTCACGTTTCTTTTGAATCCACCTGACATATTTTACGTGTAAAACATTTTTGTCGTGTAAACGCTTTTTTTAAAATACAGTCATGGGGGGGGCACATTTTTCTCTTGCATTTGACATGGGAGGGGTTCATCTGGCAGGAGAGCGAGACAAGGAAAATTTGGCAGGAGAGGTTTTTTTTTGTTCCTTCCTCTTTGGTTCATTAACAAGTCTGAGATTTTTCCAGTTCCCAACCCGTTGCCACCAGCTGTTCCTCCCTGAGGGCTGGAGACAAAACCCATAAGGCCACCTGTGATCCAGCCCTGTCCCAGGTGAGCAGTGCCAGCTCCCCCGGGCACACTTTGCCCGCCGAGCCGGCCAGCGGCACACGGTGCAGTGGGACAGTGGTGCCACGGCACCAGGAGCTGCTCCCCCACCCCAACCCCTGGCACATCTGGATTTTGGGCCCCAGTCCTGGCTTGCCAGCGCTGCCTTTGAGCCCTGCGCCCCAACAACCCCTTACTGGACTTTATACTTGCCAGCAATAACAAATCTCGTAACGTGAGCTACTGACCTTGATGGTGAGTGTGAGCAGTTATGTTTTGTTGTTTTCTCTCTTGCTTGGTTGGGGCTGCTGTGAGAGAGGGTGTCTCTGAGGCAAACTTTCCGGCCTCTCTTACACTCGGACGTGCACACCTCCTCTCAAACACTCTTCTGAGCGCTCTCAGCGGGAAGGTTTGTCCACACCTATTAATCCTCTCTCAGTGTCCAGCTTCTTGTTAGTAGCAGCTGGTTGCATGTTTTTTGCTTGTTCGGACGAAACGGTTCAAGAAACGACTCATATCAACTCTTGAGAAATGTCTCTATTTTTTTGTACACTTTCTTTCTTTTGATGTTTTTATTAATTTCCCTTACTTAAAAAACAAAACACCTGTCGTCCCGTAAAACATTTCACATCTCCCCTTGCCTGTTCTTAGAGTGTATGTATCTGTGGGACTGAACTAAATGCATGCACTGTAGTAGTCGTACTGGTAGCAGTAGATGTAGTTGTAGAACATGCATTGTCGAGTTGATATTATAGGCACCATCAACGCGAACGAGCGTGGCAGATAAAAGCAGAGCCTTGGTCTGATTGAAAGCATAGGGATAATACAGCAGAGAGCTGCTAAAGGCTTGGATCCATAGTGCCCTATTTGTTAAATCCCATTATCTGGAAGTATAAATTGAAGCCGGCTGTAGGCAACCTACACCCTCCGTACAAGAACCCGCACGTGCTGTTATGCCGATAGTAAAATTGCTGTTACTTTCTTTTTTTTTCAAATTAACCCCCCCCCCCCCAGGAATTAAAACACTGGCTATAACTGTATTCTGTTATTTTTATTTTGTATCCAAAAGAACTTAAGATATTTTTTAAATCATTTTACAATCATGGTTTCTCCATCAGCCTGTTACTCGTCCATATTAGCCCATAGACTCATTCGTTGGCGGTCGTAGACCAGATGTGCCACACGCAAATCACTCCATTTGGGAATCCAAATAATTCCGTGTGTGTGTGAGGCAGCTCCCTGCAGCCTGTCCTGAGCCACCAAGCGATTGTCTGTAGGTCATAAACCTTAAATCTTATTATGCAACAGAGACTCTGAGCTAGTAATGGGTCGTACTCATTGCCATGTCACCCAGCTTAAGGGAACGTGTTTAAATGAAGATTTAACATTTCATAAATATCAGCATGAGGAGTTCGAGGCAAGTTCATCCTCTCTGCCAAGAGCCAGCAGTGGCTTTGCTTCTCCTGCCCAGGGTTTCTGTGCTAAACTTTGAAAATTCAGAGACAATGATGCAGTCAGTAAATTTAGCAGATGGTAATTGAGATCCCAAATTAGGCCTTGGTTTACTTGTTTAGTTTGTTGTTTGTCAGAAAACATCCTGCTGGGAATAGAAAAGCTCCTGTACAGGATGGTCACCCCTTTTCTCCTCCCCGCGCCCCAGCTGTCCCCAAAACCAGTTGTGGTGGGTGGGAGCATCTCCTGCTCTGCTGGGCAGAGCCATACAGGTGTTAGTGCACTTACAGCAGCCAGGGCCTTCCAGGGAAATAAAATACCCAGAGTGGGCTTTGCAAATGTAATTAAGGATTTGTATCCACTCCTTACCTCGAATAGAATGTCGAGTAAATCAAGCAAACAAGCCCTGGGATGGGGCTGACATGGTGCAGGGCAAGCTGAGCTGCCCCTGGTACTGCCAGGGAGCTCAACACTTGTGTGTCAAGGGAGAGGGATAATGTCCCCTTTGGATCTCAGTCTTCCAGGGAAATGGGGGGACCCACTGTTTAATGCGCCCGGCACATGATGAAGTGAGGAGTCGGCTGAAAGTCAGCAGAGCAACAAATTGCATGGGGCTGAGGAAGCCTTGTCTGGCACTTAAGGAAGGTGCTCTAAAATTTAATCTACTCATAGTTTAGCAAATTATGGCCATAAGAAGGGGGGCAGTGCTTGGTCTGTGTGTGCAGGGCAGAGGAGCTGCCACTGGCTCGCAGAGATATCAGGGGGAGCATTTCAAAGATCCAGCAATGAACCAATTTGGGGTTTATACGGCCCATTGGGAGGACTCCCTTGTGGCACGGCGGCTCTGATGGAACTGCTCTCCCTTTTTTATTCTCCTCTATAAAAGTACATAAAGTTTAATCCAAGCTATGTAATCTCAAAAGCCAGAACCTAACAAGTGGACCACTTGGGAGCAGCAAGGGCTGGAATTTCTCACTCTACTGGAACCGCCAGTAATTATGTGACAGAGCCCAGCGGGTGATGCATCGGGAAATTAATGGCTGCATCGGATTTTATCCTTTGCTTATCTCCCTGGCAGAGACAGTGGGCACTGAGGAGCATGGCAGGTGGCCAGGCAGGGGCCCCACACCTCAGGGCCTTCAGGGAGGGATGGGCACAAGGACAAAATCCTGGCTTAAACAGGAATTCCAGCAGCCAGGCTGTGCCAGAGCAGCCCCGGGTGCTGAATGCACTCAGGAGGAGCCAAATTCCTGTAAGTGGTTTTAGCCTCATTACTGACAATACTGGGAGCACTACGGTTACTTTTCTGACTACTACCCCAAAATAAAAGAATAATAGTAATGAAAGGGGAGTCATTTCTGTTTGGTTCAGAAGTGCTGTGCTGGTCCAGGGTGGGAATCCCACAGGTCCTCTCCAGAGTGCAGGCTCAGACAGAAACCCTGTGTCTTGTTTTACTGTAGGATGCCACTTCTGGATCTTTTTTGATCCACGAGGGACTGAGCTTCCTGCTCAGTGGATCTAAACAGAAAATTGAGTAGATCTGAAACAATTTGGTGCTGCTGCTGCTGCTCGGCCTTGGCTGCAGCAGTGGGTGTTTGACAGGGCATCGGGCTGAAGTCTGTTGAGGTTAAAATACATCAGCTTTAATCAATAATTTTGTAATAGAAAATCTCGTGCACTTGATGAATCATCTCCAGTGCAATTAGTGACCACCTCTGAAGTGCAGTTGAAGTTAATCTGTAATGAATTTATTGGGTAACTTTTAACAGTCCTTTCCATTGAGAGAATTATTTTCAACGGCAAAAAGGTCCGCTGAGAGCTCATCCAGAGCTGTTTCATTTAGGAAGAAATTCCTTCCTGTGAGGGTGGGGAGGCCCTGGCACAGGTTGCCCAGAGAAGCTGTGGCTGCCCCATCCCTGGAAATGTCCAAGGCCAGGTTGGATGGGGCTTGGAGCAACCTGGGCTAGTGGAAGGTGTCCCTGCCCACAGCAGGGGGTTGAAACTGTATGATTTTTAAGATCCCTTCCAACCCAAACCATTCCTTGATTCTTTGATCCCGCTGTCCCAGCTGCTGCTCTTGACACACGTCAAGTGGTGACGACGTGGCCGCTGCCTTGCGCCACGGGCGGGCTGATTGCCAGGGCAGAGCCCTGCTCACTGGTGACAGGGCTTTGGTAGCCTCCAAAGCCCTGCCAAAGCCAATTAGCTGTGTTTAATACCCTTTCTCCCAGTGGAAGTGGAGGGACAGAGCTCTGGGCTGTTGTAATTAGACTTTGTTCCACGCAAGACGCAGCCGAGTCGCTGCAGAGTTTGAAGTGTTTCAGTCGCTGCAGAGTTTCAGCACGAGTGCTCCAGTGAAATGAGATCCTCGAGCACAGGATCATGTCTCATGCATTTTAATCCCTAAACAGGTAAAATACTGCCAGAGCTGAGGGTAACTTGCCTCTCTGGCAGCAGTTGCAGGCTGTTACCTGTTAGTGGAACAACTGGGAGGCAGCACACATTGTCCTGATGTACTACTGTCACTATTTTCATGCTCATTCTCTCCCCAAATGCTTTAAAAGTAAATACATAATTACTTTTTTCCCCTCTCTCCTTTCTGAAATAGAATACTGCCAAAGGGGCAGAGGAGTTTTTCCTCACAGCAGATGTTAGTGTGCATCTGGCTCCGTGTGAGCTTGAGGAGCGCAGTGGGTTAGGAGTTGCCAGAGAATGCAAAGTGGATCTGCAGGTATATAAACCTGAGCTATTTAAAAATAATAAACTTGCACAGCTGGGGCTTTTATGGTTATTTCCTGGTAGTTAGAAGAACCCAGAGCTCTGTGTCAGGAGGACTCTGAGGTGTCTGTGCCCTGCTGAGGGCTGGGGTGTCAGCTGCCAACAGAGCTGGTGCTGCCAACTCTCCTGCAGGCACCTTGTGGTGGGCAGCACCTTCTTCCAGTGTTTCCTCACTGGCGAACTCAGGTTGTCCTTTAAGGGGGTGTTGTTACCTGCTGCACATGCTGTGGAGGATCCTTCACTCCACCTTGGCACCCATCTGTCCAGACAGGTCTGCTCCAGGTGCCAGTGCAGACTCTCCCACAGGAGAGGGTGGTTGCACAGGACTGGGGGTTCACAGGCTGGATTCCTCTCCTGTTACCTGGATTACCCCTCTGTGCTCCCGAGCATCCCCCCCAGCCCATCAGCAGCAGGAGGGTGCCCCCCAGGCCCTCCTGCTACCATGACTTAAATTATGCAGCAAAACAAAGACCTGGTTTTGATTTAATTTTCCTCCTGTATTGTCTGTTATTGTAGAAAAGGCTTCAATTTCGAATTACAGGAGTGATAGCCAGTTAATGTGGTACAGTGGGAGGCCGGAGTTGCTGTTGCTATGGCAATGGAGTTCGGCTCATTTGTTTTGTAGATGAGTAATTACTACGCAATTAGAGTAGGCTAAAAATAAAGGAGCCTTTTGTTCCTTCTTACTCATTAATATTAATAAAAGACCTGTCCGGGCTGTGGTAAACAATTAATGCAGATGTGGTTGCCCATGGTAAAAGTAACAGCAGCTTTCCTGCTCCTTGGCGGGCGGCGAAGGCGCTGGCATGGCCTGGCTCAGCTCTTCCTTCATCTGAAATGGAAAATGGTTGGAGAGGGGTCTGTGTTATCCCAGCAGCCAACTTTAGCTCTTATTTGCCGGTTGGATGAGTGATAATAAGTGTTAAAGCTTAATGTGCAGGCAGGGACAGCAGGTACAGCGTTTGGGTCAGAGCCCGTGACACAGCGAGCGCCTGCAGCACACGAGGGGTGTGAGGGGAACGCGCCGGCAGTGGTTCCTGATGCAGACAGCTCTTCATTCATCCCCTTGGATAAATGCCAGGGCTGGAGCAAGAAACTTGCCCAAAAACCCAAGCACAGGCAAGGATGAGCATGGTGTTGCTGTAACAGCTCCAGTAGGGCGCAGTTACAAACATAGAT